ATCCATGTATGTTAAATGGAAGGTGTGCAAAGCATGGAATTGAAATTGTGTCATACTTGAGTTTCGGACTTGATCTTAACAAGCATCCTAGAACCACATGCCGAATAGGGGTCGTGTCGATGATAGCCCATCCGGACGGACAAGGATTCATCTCTTTGATTAAGTACATTGAATGTTTGATAAATCCTATTATCCACTACGTTATAAATTAATTTTTGTATTCATTATATCTCGTATAATTTTATTTATTTATTTTAGCATAATAAATTGGGTCTTAACCCGGATCCTTACAAGGCACTTCGACAACTCACAAGTGAAAAGATGGATCATTCAATGAAAAATGGTTCCAAATAATAATAGTAAGTTTTTATTTTATTTTTTTCAATATACATCTATCAATATAATCTAAAAAATACATTAATGATTTAATATTATAATTATATTAATGACATAGAAGCGTGAGCGATCAAGTAAGAAACGAGTTGCTAAGGAGCGAGTAGGAGGGTGATTTGTCGTCTCTAAATATCGATATGACAAAGATATATTTGGATGTTAGAAGCGAGAGAATGTATGGCCTTAAATCTTAGGTGTCCCAAGTATTACTCTCATTCCGGTGTCGGCTCCTTCTCTGCGACTTCACGATATCCCGATGGTAATATTCATGAGGTTTCTATCTAGTATGAAGATAGAATTAAGAAGATGGAGGTTACCATCCATAAACATGTGGGTAAATTCAACACACTATAAAGTCGGATGGAGACAGTGATGGAGTTATTACGAAACCTACAAGCAAACTAGCGTTGTTCTTGTTGATCCCTCCGAACCCAAGAGTCGGTTGTTTCTCTCGATATCCGAGTAGCAAAAGATGATGGAAGAGATGATAAGGAGGAGGATTAGATTTCATATTTTTCAAGGTTTTTAATTTTTTCATACACCTTAATGACGAACACATATATATTTTGTTAAATAATATATCATGTTTTAATAAATTTTTTTTTGTATTTGTTACTATCATTAATATTAAATGACTATTAATTAATATAAATAAATAAATTTCTTTGTTTAGCAACGGATTAGCAACAAAAATTAAACTCCTTTATAATGAACACATATATGGTCACTAAATAAAGATGGATTTATGAGAAATTTTAGAGAGTACAATTTAGTGATGAAATTTACGTCGCTAGTTAGTGATGAAAATAATTTAGTAACGATGGTTTCGTGATAAATACCGAGATCAAGGAGATGATTTTTTTTACTTTGATTTAGCGATAAAAATTCAATACATGAGTGATGGCTAAACCATTAATGATCAACGACAGGAAAAAATTTCCATCACCAAGAAAATAGCGATGATCGTTTTAGCTATTGAAAGTATATTGTCATAAATTCATCGCTAAGGCTAAATAATGAAGGATATTAATGATATGGTGATTGGAAAACTAGGTCGTTATTTTTCAATTTTCTTATAGTGTGTTTTTTTTATTATTTTTTTAATATAAAGCTAAATCAAATAAATACATATGATCAGTTTGTAAACTCTAAAAAAGACTTATAATCTATACATGTTAGTTAGATTACAAGTTTATAAGGGTAATTATACTTAAAAAGATAATCATCTCAACTCAACAATTCAGATTTACAAAACTAAATTATAATCAAAATCATTCATTCAAAGTGAAAATATTTGAAATTTAATAATTTATATGCTAGAAATTCAATATACAAACATAAAATGAAGACTTACATTCATTGATGGTCGAGAATACTTACAGATTGGTGTTTTCAATATAACAACTCATGAATTCAACTTGCGATCACAAGTTATGTATATAAGATGGAAACCAAAAACCAAACTATCAACTTATGAATTATCACCCTATAAACTATCAACCTAAGAATTACTATATACAAATTACCGTTTACAAACTATAGACTAATAAGTTTTGAGTGTACTGGAATTTGAGAGAGTGCTTTGTGAGCTATTTGTAAATTGCAAATTGAGTTTATTTATATGTTGTTGTGTGTCCTCCTGCTTTAGCTTGCATTTAGAGATTTTAATTCTTGCTCTTTGATGATCTCTTGTAGCGGATCATGCTCTTCTCGCACTTTGCCATGCTCTATTTTCCCTTACAACTTTTTACTATGCATAGTAATGCTCCATGTCTTTTTGTTATTGTCTTGATAGTGCTCCATGTTTTTTTTATCGTTATTACTTTCATGTTCCACCATTTTCATGATTGTTGTAGAAGTTATACCTCATATTTATCTTTTTATTATGACTATTTTGCTTAATTAAAGAGTTCATGATTAATAACCCCGTTGGTCCAAGTAAATCGCTTGACAAATTAGTCGACATACCTTTTTATGCGAAATTAAATAATTAGATTTTTGGACCTAATTTGAATTTTAGATATAACACTTTTTTTTTTTTTTTGCGTTTCGTTCTAGGTCGGATAAAATATATAAAATCATTTAAAAAATTATTTTAGCTTGATAGTCTATGTTATGATGTGAATCTATAAAAATATATAAAATCAAAAGTAAAAAAATATATATTTATAATTTTTTAATCAAAATTTTGTATTTAAATATTTCTTATTCGTGTTTTTTGTTAGAAAAAAGTATTTATTCTTGTTAATCCATGGATTCTTAACTAAAAAGAAACTTAAATAAAAAAATTTAAAAAAGGTTTTAGTATTTCATAAGATTGTGTTGAAAAACTAAAGTAAAAATTAATAAAAACTTACATAGAATTGAACAAATAAAAAAATATTATTTTTATTTTTATTTAATGTTGATGAGAATCAGCTTTTGAACGAATGTGAATTTAATTTTTATATATTTATTCATAAAACAAGGAATAATAGTAAAATAAAATATATATTAATCTGAATCATTAAATGGTTAAGCCAAAACATAGTTTTAATTATTTAATTTAAAAATAAATAAATTTTAAAATATTCAAAAATAAATAAATAAATAGTAAATACTTAGTGTAGTAGTAGTTGCATAGTTAATTTCTAAAAAAAACAACGATTCAATATGTTTTTATATATCATAACTATACTAAGTGGATTTATAATTTTCAGCGTAAAACAAAAAAATGCTATAAAAAAAAAGTTAAATTGTAATGGGTATATTGACTAAATTTGAAGTTAATATACTAAAATAATAATTATTATAAAATTGATTTCGATAAATTTTGATTAGATAAAGAAGAAACAAATAAAATAGGTGAATTCTTTTTCCTTTTTTTACCTTCTTCTTAAATAATTTTTTATTTATATGCTATACATGATTAGTCCTTGAATACAAGCATCACGCGTAGAGCAACCATCTCCTTTTATTTTGTTTTTCACATTTGACTTTCAATTATTAATTAACTAATTTGAGTTTTTTTTTCTAAAAAAGCTGAGAGAAAATTATTTGAAAATCATTTTTAATCTAAAAAAAGTAATTTAAATAAATTATATATATTAATCATAACACTATAAATTAAAACTATATAGATCTATTTTTCAAAAGAAAAAATAATCATGTTCTAAAAATTTATTCCAAAATCCTTACATATAGAAAAATAAATCAAAACTATTAGTAAATATAATTTTAAATTAATTGGATGAGAATTTAAAAAAATAAAAAATTAAATTTGTAAATTTTAAATAATAAAAGTAATATAATCTAAAATATATGTTCAATCTAAATTATAAAAATATATAATATATATCTCTTTCATGTGAGGTTGTGTGGGAAAAAATAATGATTTATTTTTTTATATTTTATTACAAAAAAATCAATGATAAAAAAAAAGTCATTGGAAAAAAAAACAGAGAATAAAAAGCCAAGCAAGGCCCGCGCGAGTGAGCTTTAAAAAACAGACAATGCATCTTTTTTATAGAATGAGTCCTTGTCATTCCTCTATCTCTCTCTCCTCCTTTGTCTTCCTTTGTTTCTCTCTCCTTTTTACATTAATGGACCAAATCACAATATAATTGAAGTTTCAAATTGAAAAAAATGTATCGAAAAATTAGGACCGAGTATAATATTCATAAAAAACATGAAAGTTGCCCATCAAATGCTTCAAAATGTGTTGAAAATTACAACAATGCCATAAATAGTGAAAAAAACAGTAATTTATGAGTTTGTGAATAATGATTTATGAGTACTTAAATAATAAAAACTCATTTTGTTTTAGTATTTTTGTTAATTATTGCTAACTCGTTCCAATCTAAAATGTTACAAACGCAGAACAATGTACCTTTGCCATGCTCCATTTTTCCTTGCAACTTTCCACTACGCATTGCAATGTTCCACGTCTTTCTATTGCTGTCTTGATCGTGCTCTATATTATTTTATAACTATTACTATGGTGTTACCTTTTTTTTCCTGGATGTTATGGAAGCTATTCCTCTTGTTTATATTTTATGATTGTTTTGCTTAATTGAAGAGTCTATGATTAAAAAATATTTTGGTCCAAGCAAATCACCTAACTAATTAACTGACATATTATTATGTGAAATTAAATAATTAGACTTTTAGACCTAATTTGAATTTAGATATAATATTATTGCTAACTCGTTTCAATCCAAAATGTTACAAACGCAAAATCGGGTCTATCTTTGTCCATTTCAATTGGATGAATTATTACCATTGTCTATTATCTTTTCATTTTCACATGTTCATATGGTATCCATTATTTTATAAATGTTTTTTTTCCCTTTAGTTTTAACAATAGGAGTATTATAGTTTTTTTTTTCCTCAATAGGGTACTTTTTAATTTATTTTTTTAAAATAAAATATTTTAAATCTTATTTATAAAAAAGAGTTGGTTTTGCCATATAGGCATCTATATCATCTTTTTTGGGTTAGTTTATCTGTGGTTTTGCTGTTTTTTTTCTTTTTTGATTATTAGTGTTGGTTCAATTAGTGAAATTTGGGGTCTTTGGGTATTTGATATGGAGGCTAGATTTGGAAGCTAAGCTCATCGTTTCTATGCTATGTGCCCCGCAGATATGCGGGCAGTAGGGAAGAGAGCTTTAGATTGGGATTTGAATGATTGGAAATGGGATGGTGATCTTTTTATTGCTAGCCCTTTGAATCTGGTGCTATCAACAAGTATGAGTAGGCAATTTTTCCCTCTTGGGGTTGGGATAGGAATTCCAACCACTGGGAATTCGTCCGACTGTTCATCCTCATGCTCTAATGAAGTGAATCTGGGAGATGAGAAAGGAAAGAGGGAATTAGAGAAAAGGAGAAGGGTTGTCGTCATTGATGATGATAATTTGAATGATCTAGAAACCAATGGAAAAAAGACTAAATTAGTTGGGAAAATAGTTCTAATATCATGCTTTATATAATAACTTTTTTCTTAATTCATAGTTCTCTAGACTTGAATTTAAACTAAGGATTGATAAAAATCAAATAGTAGATTGAAAAACTAAAAGAAATTGAAACTAAGAGAAAGTGAAAGAGAAAGAGAGAGAATGTAAAAATTGAATTTTTAACAAAAAAAATTAAAGCTGACATGTCAATTTATTAAAACAAAATGACTCATATTTGACATAAAATATCTTATTATGAGAAATAAGTTTAAAACTATTCCGTTATAAGAAAAAAGATTTAAAAATATTTTATTATGAAAAAAAACTTAGGGTATTATAATGTTTGATTTGGCTTATTAAAATTAATTTTTAAATGGAATTTTAACTAGATCATCTATTTAAATTTTTTGACAAATTATTTTTTTAATCTTTATTAAGCTTCAAAATCTGGATAATAATTAATATGTGAATATGTCCACTTACCTTAATCAATCTTTAAAGGATATTATTTTGTAAATGTTGACTAATAATAAGCTGACAAAAGTTATTTTTTGCAGTTAAGTGCATGCAATAATTATGACTGATGAATCTTATATGGCACCACGTAAGCGTGTTGCAATAATCCATAAACAAGGAGCAGGCAAACAAGCATTTTGCTATCAGAAGAGAAGAAATTTAGGACGCCTTAGTTTGTTTTTTTTTTAAAGCGTGAAAATAGTGCTGATTTTCTTGGCAACTACAATGATGCAGTCCTGAAGAATGTGGAAATTTTGGCCTTTGGTGGGGACACTATGGCACCAGGCGGAGCCTCCAAAAGGTCGTGTACAAGGAGGGGAGAGGGCCACGTACCCCCTACGGTAGTCTCAGAGACCGCAAGATTTTAGTCCGCTGACGATTCCTTTTTGTTATCTAGATGAGGACTTTGAGGTAGGAAATAGCCGCACTTTCTACCTAAAATAAGAGCAGGATACGGCTTTCAGGTAGTATTCCTTTCTTGCTTACCACTCTCACTGACAACAGTTTCCCACGTGAACCTTCCTGTCGATGTCTTTATCGTACGAGTTATTATTGTTTTACTTAGAAATCTGAAGTTGAAAAGAAGTTGGCTTAGGTTCTGTGAAGGTCAATATTTCAAAGATTATGACTGAAATTTGGCAATGCGTTAGGTAGAGATGCGCTTTTGGTTTTTGTTTTTTTATATTTAATGAAATCAATAATCACATTAATAAAAAAAGCTACTATGAAGCCAGCCAAAAAAAAAAAAATTACAATCAACCTAAGAAGTCTATAAATATAAAGAGACTAGACTTAGCAAGATATAAAAATAAAGTCGATTGTCCTCCTTTTGATTGAAAATATAGTTTTAAGAATAAACTATATAAAAAAAATTAAGAATCTGAATCATTCAAATACACCATTAATGTGTGAAAGTTATTGATAGATTCTACCAATCTAGTGGCTTAAAAAAATTGTTATTTGTTTTTTTTTATATATATAACTTTGTAATATAGCAATATTGAAGGAAAAAATAGAATTAAAGAAAGTAAAAAAAATTATTTGAAACAATAAAAAATTAGGAGGGAATTTTTTAGAAGTGTAAAAAATTACTTTATAGACCCGATAGTGCCCGATATATCCTTAGTTGGAGCCTCACGTATAACCATATTGTATTTAAAAGCTAAACGATTTTTTATTCAACTTTTAAAAATAAAAGTGTTTGATAAAGAATTTATTTTTAGAAAAAAATAAGCACACTATCTTAGAAAATTAAGTAAAAATGATTATTAAAGAAGTCTGTCTTCCTCTACTTCGATTCTCTTCTCTGATAATCAATTAAAAAGAGTGTTTGCTAATAAGTACGATGAGGCCAAACGACCCTTACTTTCAATTTTTTCTTTCTATCCCTTTCATAACTCAATTTTACATTATAAAAAAAAAATCTATTGTTTTGTAGGGGAAATATAGAAGGAAGCTAACTTTTTTATATTAGTTCAAGCATCTGGAACTTTTACAATGTTAACTACAACCATCCTAGCATGAATTTTATTTTATTTTTTCCATAAAATAATGAATGTGATTGTAAGTCTTTTTTTAAAAAAATTTAAGGTGTGATTTTTTGCGACACGTGAAATTGGAATAGATGCATGTTTTTGTAACATTAATTATTAAAAAATTCAGGTGAGTATAAGATAAGACCCGATGGTCGATGAACCCTTCACGGCTTCACCCGACCCGAATGAGTCAGAGATGGGTATAAAAAGAAGCAAGCCCACCCAACCCATTGTCATTCGTGCTGCTTATTGATGGAAATTCAATAAAAGGAAAAAAAAAGTTTTATGCGTACACCAAATCATTGTAGAGGAGTTTCGTCTTTTTTAATTTTCTTCACATCCGGCTATGTGCTTGATGCCCTGAAATCTATCGATCTTCGAATATTTACCAGGTAGGAATCTTATCCTTAAATTGAAATTGAATTCTTTAGGTCAAATGGAGGGATCTATTGAAAATCTTTCTTTATCAAATGGAAGTTGTTTTAATACTTTTCAGATGAGCAAAATAAATTAAATTAATGTCATGGTGAGTCCTCTAATTAAGGCCAAAAAGGTAAAAATAAAATGCTCTCAAAGCCAATGCTTGAACTGAGACATTCTTTTAAATTCTGATTAAGCATCAGAAGAACTATTATTTAACCGATTGGATATCTGCACCTCAGCCTTTTCTTTCTATCCCCAATGATGATAGCTACACAATAGGGTAGATCTCTCATCATACGTCGATCGCTCACCTACTCTTACCTAGAGAGTTGTGAACTCGCTAAGCGATGAAATCCAATAATGTGGATTGTTAATCTTGACCCACAGGGCATCCAATGGTTGCTATATTTGATTCTTACAAGAGGCACCAAAATTCTTCATATGATTCGGAGATCCTTAATATTCCACCAATTAATGAAAGTGAATGTCCGTAGGAAACAATTGGGAACCATCATTCGAGTGACAATCCAAGAGCGGCTAGGGTTCTGATCTTGGTTTATCCTCCCATGGGTACGTATGGTCCACAGCCATAGAAAAACAAATGTGCAACGCGGGCAGATCTTCTCCTTTTCAGCCGAGATATGGAATAAGGAAAAGGAAATCTTTTAATATTTTCCGATCATTCTTCACTCCTCACACCCTCAGTTTATATTCTTCTTAAATTCGAAGAAGATGCTAAAGACATAATATTCAAAATCCATTTGCTGTTGTTTTTGTGGGAGTGAAGAAAAGTTGTTTGGGCTTATGGTTAAATCCTAGGCACTGGCGTTCCGAAGTTAAGTTTCACGGCGGGGGCTACTTTGCTACCTATAAAAAAGATCACTTAGCATGTGATACCAAGCGATCAGGATAGAACCCCTATGAATGACTGAATATAATAGGAAATTACTGCTTCTCAATTCTCATCGTATCATTCTAAGCTCAATGGGCATATAATAGGAAAGCTTGAAAGTTAACTTACATCAAATATTACACTTAAGAGATTTTATTCTAACATTAAAGTGGGTGTAAGAGTCCTCAATTTTTTTTTTAATGATTTAGACCGTATGGTATGAGATTTTTTTTATTTGAAATTAAAAAAAAATTAAATCAATTTCTATCGAGATTTTTTAGACATATTAAGATATATTTTCACATCAATTTTGTGTATTTTGCGTATCAAAAATATTATTTTTTTTACTTTGATATAAAAAAAAATTAAAACATAGAAAGTAAAAAAGAAAAAAGAAAAAAGCAATCCCTCGGATCGCGAGCATTGTCATACTATATAATTGGTAATAGTACCGCAGGAAAACAAAATTTCTAGCACAAAAGGAAAATCTAGACATGAGAGGAGACACGATAAGCTGCTCTACTGTGCACAATTTTTCTTGCGTCAGTTAATTGAACTTAATCTATATTTGAGTTAACACGATATAAACCCACTAAGTTAGCTATACGTCAACCCGTCATAGAAGCGTCAACTCCTTATTGGCCCGTAAATTACACTGGTTTTTCTTTCCCATCTTGTTTTAAAAAATATTAGTATTGGAATAATGTTGTCTAGCAAATTCGCTTTTGCATAAATCACTTGTGCACACACACTCAACAAACGTGCACATATATATTGTTTGTATCGCAAGTCTCTTGATTTGTTTTACTATAAATCGTCTATATATTCAATAAAAAAACATTACATTTAAGTACATTTCAAGTTTCCTTCAATATCTTGTACTGTAGCCGAATTTTATGATATATTTGAAAATAAGGTTAGTGTGTGTGCATATATATATATATATATATATATGTAGAGAGAGAGAGAGATTTGATAAATCTTTTCTTAATTATCTGACCAATTCAATTAGCCTTTTAAGTTCGTGATGAGCGGATGTCATCTTAGCACTCCAATTGAAAAGGTTCCACTCATTAAGAAAACATATCCCAAAATAGAAATTTGGGTCCAAAAACCTTATACAAAATGAGTAAGCAAAACCAACCGAAAAAAACTGCCACAACAAATAGATCTAGCGACTTCGGTTAGGAGTATGGGCCCCCTCAAGGAAGGAAAAACCAGACGCTGCAGAGGATGGATCAACTCCCTTTTTTTTTCTTTTTCTTTTTTTTCGAAGCTTTCTGTGATGGGACATGCCATGTTGCCTTGGCAATGATTCATCGGGGTCCACAAATCATGCCATTAGTGCTTAACCCACTCATGCCCACCACCCCACTGAAACTCTAATCTCCAGTTTCTTTGCCCCCACCACCACCTGCGCCCTCTTGTAATCTGGATACCACCCCTCGTTTCCTTTTCAAGATTTTTATGGACTTTAATATTTTGCTAAGTGGGGCATCGAGAACTTAGAATTTTATATTAAATGTTGTTTTTTTCTTCCCTTTTGCCTTTCCCTTGTAAAGTCGAAAGTTCTTATTGTATGTTCCATAGCACACAATTTTAGCCAAAGTTTTGTGCCAGTTTAACTTAATTTGTTACCGAATCCTGTAGTACATTGACATTGATGACTCACGTCTCCTTTCTCTAGATCTTCCACCTTTTAAGAGTTCTTAGGTTCAAATATTTCCCTTGTGTATAGAATTAAAAAAGTAAAAACTTAATTTGTTGGATGGCAACCACCACGTTAATATGGTGTTCATAATAAATTTTGTTTTATACTTGTTCAACTCCATTGGTTAACTTTCATTTTAGACAAATAATTAAAAAAAGTAGAGATGGAAAGGAGTGAATTGCTTTTATGAAAAACTACGCCCACTTCCATCAAACAAAATAAGCATCTAGATTTTTGACACTCCAAAGACCACTCATGCTAAGCTTCAATATGGTGATTGGGTAATTTAGTTAGGCTCGTGCATAGGGATTGAGAAAAGTTAAACTTAAGATTCATGCGATCTTCATAATTTCATACCTTACAGCACAACTTTATTCCTTTGTTCAAACAAAAAAAAATAAAACAACTTTTTATATCGTTGACTTGATCTATCAATCCAAAAGGCCTAGATTAAGTTCCTAGATGCTAATATGAGAATCATAAAAATCGGATAAAACATGAATTATGGTGTTTCAGATTCATTTGGGATTTAAGGATATATAGCTATAATACCTCTTTAGATGTTAAAAAACATCTCATAGTTCTTTTTTGTACTTTTAATAGTTGGGAAAAGAAAATCAATTTAGTTGCACTTGGATGAATGTGAACATCCACGGAACAAAATATTATTCTACTGTAATCTTATCTAACGATGTTCGGCGAAATAAAATAATTGATTCTATTCATAAATCTGTAAAGAGGATCTTAAAAGGCTTATTTTATTTTTGAAAAAGTTGAAAGAAGAGGCCTGTAGTGCCTATAGCACCA